CCACCACCACCACCACCACCACCAAGTTCCCAGGCTAATTCGGGTCGTTCTCTCATTAAAAATAGTTCGTGGACCATAGTGGAGTTCGGCAGTCGTCTGGGATAATAGGGCAGCCCTATTTAGGGGGTGCGCTGCCTGCCCCCGCGAGGGAGAAGGGGCTAGAAAAGGTGCCCTAAAGATCGCTGGGGACCACGCTGTCTGTAGGCTGGCCGTGGCCGCAGACAAAAAACGCACGGTCGAAACAGCAAAAACCGAAACAGCACCCATCTCTCTCTTCCTCGTCCTGCCTATCCTCCTTCTTCCCCTCCTCCTTTTTGCCGCTGCAATCGCCAGACTGGCAGGGTGAGTCCGCTCACTCTGGCAGCCAGGAATATTCGTTCCCTTTTAAACAATCCGAAGAGCAACCGACCGGAACGGAGGACGGCGCTACTGGCACGAGAACTGGCGGCAATCGCCACACTCAGCGAGACCCGATTCTCTGAACAAGGCCAACTGGAGGAGGTGGGTGCCGGCTACACCTTCTTCTGGAGCGGTCGTCCCAGGTCAGAGCGACGAGACGCGGGTGTCGCCTTCGCCATCCAGAACGACATCGTGGGACGACTGCCCTGCTTGCCGCAGGGCCTCAACGATCGCCTGATGAGCCTCCGTCTGCCTCTCCGGCGAGGAGGCAAATTCGCCCTCATTATCAGTGCCTACGCTCCCCCGATGACTAGCCCCGACGCCGCCACATGAGACAAAGTCTACGAGGATCTGCATGACCTCCTGCCGACTGTGTCGAAGACGGGCAAGTTGATTGCCCTTGGTGACTTCAACGCCCTTGTCGGCACAGACCATACTGCCTGGAGAGGAGTGCTAGGTCCCCATGGTCTCTGCGGCTCCGACGACAACGGCCTGCACCTCCTCCGCACCCGCGCAGAACACCGCCTCATCCTGACGAACCCCTTATTCTGTCTGCCGGAGCGAGAAATGGCCACCTGGAGGCATCCTCGGTCGCGTCAGTGGCACCTGCTGGACTATGTCCTCGTCCGGAGGCGAGATCAGCGGGACGTGCTGATGAAAAAAACGATCGTGGTTGCTGACAGGTGGACCGACCATCGCCTCGTCAGCTCGAAAATATGTATTCGCCTACAGCCTCGCAGGAGACCACAAGGTAAGCGACCCCCAGGTAAGCTGAATATTACATGGTTGCCTTTGCCCGCTCACCATCTTCATTTCTTCAATGAGCTAGCTCCCCCGCTAGACAACCTTCCAATCTCTGCCGCAGACGACGCCGCCGCTGCCGAGAACGCCTCCGTGGAGAACCGCTGGTGTCAACTGCGAGACACGGTCCAGTCGACGGTGCTCGCCGTCCTCGGTCGGGCACGCCGCCAACACCAGGATTGGTCCGACGACAACGACGTCGCCATCACCAATCTGCTTGCCGAGGAAAACCGCATACACAAAGCCTACCTAGACCACCCCACGGACGACAACAGAGCTGCCTTCTACCGTTGTCGTCGCCTCATACAACACCGGCTGCGCGAGATGCAGGACGCCTGGACGGCTCGCAAGGCTGAGGAGACCCAAGGGTACGCGAACCGCAACGAATGGAGGAACTTCTCTGCGATCAAAGCTGTTTACGGTCCGCCGACCAAAGGCACTGCTCCTCTCCTGAACGTCGACGGCAGTACCCTCCTGACCGAGAAGACACAAATTCTATAGCGATGGATCGAGCACTTCCGAGGCGTCCTCAACCGCCCCTCCACCATCTCCGACGCCGCCGTTGACGGCTTGCCACAAGTTGAGACCAACGTGGACCTCGACTTCCCGCCCTCTCTCCAGGAAACTATCAGGGCCGTGCAGCAGCTCTCCAGCGGGAAAGCTCCCAGATCGGACGCTATCCCTGCTGAGATCTACAAGCACGGTGGCCACCAACTCATGGATCACCTGACTAAACTCTTCAAGGAGATTTGGCGTCAAGGAGAAGTCCCGCAGGACTTCAAAGACGCCATGATGTTGCATCTATACAAGCGGAAAGGGAACCTCCAGCTCTGCGACATTCACCAAGGCATCTCCTCGCTGAATATCGCCGGGAAAATCTTCGCTCACATCCTCCTCAACCGCCTTAATAATCATTAAAACAGAGTCTTCTACCGGAAAGCCAGTGCGGCTTCCGCTGTCATCGTGGGACCATGGATATGATCTTCATCGTCCGTCAACTTCAGGAGAAGTACCAAGAGATGCAGACCCACCTGTACTCTACCTTCGTGGATCTGGCGAAAGCCTTAGACAAGGTGAATAGTGAAGGACTATGGAAGATCATGCAGTCTTATGTTCTCTCCCATGCGGATAGACGCCTACCGTGACGAACGTCACGGGATTCCGCATCGCCTACAGGACGGATAGCCACCTCAATCGACGCCGAATGAACTCCCAATCACGCGTATCCACAACCACAATTCATGAACTTCTCTTCGCCGACGACTGTGCCCTGAACACCACCTCGGAAGATGAGATGCAACGCAGCATGGACCTATTCTCCGCCGCCTGCGAGAACTTCGGTTTGGTTATCAACACGCAGAAGACGGTGGTGATACACCAACCGCCACCCCACTCAATCACACCCAGCAACGCGCCGCAAATCAGCGTGAATGGGATCCAACTGCAAGTGGTGGTGAGCTTCCCGTACTTGGGCAGTACTCTCGCCCGCAACACCAAAACCAACGATGAAATCTCTCACCGGATTTCGAAAGCCAGTCGAGTCTTCGGTCGCCTCCAAAGCACAGTCTGGAATCGTCATGGTCTCCCGCTCAGCACAAAACTGAAGATATACAAAGCCGTCATCCTGCCGACGCTGCTGTACGGAGCGGAGACTAGGACGGTGTACACAAAACAGGCACGTCGACTGAACCACTTACACCTCAGCTGTCTTCGTCGAACCCTGACGCTGAGATGGCAGGATCGAATTCCCGATACCGATGTACTAGAACGGACGGGAATCCTTAGCATCTACACCATGCTGAGACAAATGCAGCCTCACTGGAGCGACCACCTCGTGCGTGTGGACGACGAGCGGCTACCCAAACGGCTCTTCTACGAAGACGTCGGCACGGGT